AGGAAGGAGGGGGAGATGCCATGTACATACAGGAGCTGCCTGCGAAGGAGAGGAAATGAAAGCAGAGGAGCTGACAGCACTCTTAGTAAATATTAAACAGTAATGAAACAGGGAATAACAGGCCACAAAGAACTTGCGATAAGAATGCCAGTCATTTACTGTATTTCAGCATGCAGCTGGGTACCAGAGCTTAACACATCTCTTCTGACATTGCAGTTTCACTATGCTAGGAGCAAAAACCTGAGTAATAAATAAAGAGCAAATGTTTTTGTTATTAAAGAAATAAATGAATGGTAGAATGAGAATGACAAAAGAATAAAAGAAAGAAATTCTATTTCCATTGTTCTAAATAGATGTTGCATGTCATGACAGACAAGAGTTCATTAATTAGCAGCAAGAGATTTTGGAAATAGCCATAGTATAAACGGTCTCTGCTTTGCATTTGGTAATGAAAGTGCTTTGAATGTGACGCTTTAGTAATTCAGACACAATATTTCTTAGTTCCTATTGTGTACGAAGTACCAGGCACTGTGGAGAGAGGCATGGGAAACGGTAGATGTAATCCTTTCTTCTGAGCAGTTTACAGTCTAGTGGTGTTAGATTTTCAAGAAGGACGAAGCTCCCGCCAAAAGCCCATGTCAAATTTTAAGCAGTTTCAAGCAATAAAAAAGCTATGTGCTAGATACCTTCTCCAGAAAACATATCACTTTGCATTCATCTGAACATAATTCAAACCACATTTACTAAAACTCCGGTTACTCTTTCATACAGCCACTTTGTTTTTATGCTTCTGTAAGAAAATGCAAAGAACAGCACTTTTTTGGAAACATCTTCAAGTTTTTTTTTTATAATTTTTTTTTAAAGAGATTAGTTCTTGCTCTGTCACCCAATCTGTCATGCTGTGGTATAATAAAAATTCACTGAAGCCTTGAACTCCTGGGCTCAAGTGATCCACTCACCTCAGCCTTCTGAGTAGCTGTGACTACAGACATACACCATGGCTAATTTTTTATGTTTTGTAGAGATGGGGTTTAGTCATGTTACCTAGTCTGGTCTCAAACTCCTGGGGCGCAAGCAATCCTCCTGCCTCAGCCTCATGAAGTACTGGGGTTACAGGTGTGAGCCGTCATGTCTGGCTATATTTAAAATTTTAAACAATAAAATGCTGTTTATATTTATCTAATCTTAAGGCTCTCTGAGTCTGGCCTGTTACTGGATATGGTGATCCTTACTCCGAACCCATGCCCCTTTTTTTCCCCCTCCCTTCTTTTTATACTATACTCATACTATCATAAATTTCAGACACACTTATTAAAAATGCTACCACACCTCTCTTCCGATTATTTTCCCTTTCAATACCACAGGCCTATGCTCAAGTTAGGGAGCCACGCCTGTCCACTTCTCAAGCCTGACAGTAGTTATCAGAAAGCACATTTCAAAAAAAATGGAACAGTGGCAGTACCACCCAGTGAGAAGAATAAATTCCAAATGCTGTCAAAATAAAGGCTGCTTTGATTAATGCCAGCATTCACTTTATTTTCATGGCTTCCCCTGCAGGGCCAAAGAGAGCAGCCAGGGCCAGAGAATATGTGTTGACATTAAGAGGCACCTTTTAGCAATGCACATTTTTAAAAGTAACGTCTAAGTTACTTGACATGTTATCAAGAGATTGCCTTATATCTATCAAAAAGCTTTAAGGCTCATTTCCTACCAAGATATCTCCAATGCCAATTTTTTTTCTCTCTCTTCTGTGACAGCTACAATATCAGTGATGTAATGCAGTATATATTTGGACTCTCTATGACATCTGTGGAAGTCGAATCCTATTTTCCAGCCAGACACAAAAATCATATAGCTTTTAACTCATTTTTAAGTGGATTCTAACCTTGTATGAAAAATTGAGAACAGGTCATCAATATTCTTTAAGAATCATAAACATTCAGAACATTCTAAAGAATAAATATTTTTAAGGAAAGTTGATGGGACATCCTAAGCTAGAATCAGACAAGTGACTGTATTTAAAATCACTTGCTTTGGCCGGGTGCAGTGGCGCACGCCTGTAATTCCAGCACTTTGGGAGGCCGAGGCAGGCAGATCATGAGGTCAAGAGATTGAGATCATCCTGGCCAACATGGTGAAACCCCATCTCTTCTAAAAATACAAAAGTTAGCTATGTGTGGTGTCCTTCGCCTGTAGTCCCAGCTATTTGGGAGGCTGAGGCAGGAGAATTGCTTGAACCCGGGAGGTGGAGGTTGCAGTGAGCCGAGAGTGCACCACTGCACCCCAGCCTGGCACCTGGCGACAGAGTGAGACTCTGTCTCAAAAAAAAAAAAAAAAAATCACTTGGTTTGCCAAAATAGCTAAAAGAGGGGCTTTGGAATGCTTCCAAGAAAAAACAAGTGTTTGAGGTGATGGATATCCTAAATATACTGATTTGATCATTACACATTATCTGTGTATATCAAAAGAAGTACCCCATAAATATATACCAGTTTTATGTATCAATAAAAATTTTTTAAAAAATCACTTGGTTTGCATTCTATCCCTTAATCTTTGTGAATCTTGATATCATCTGCATGTTTCAGACTACTTTCTTACATCTTCTCAACCATTTTCAAAGCTATTGTGGTGCTTTTAGGAAACCAATAAAACAATTCTTAGACTTGTGTGCAGTGAAAGAACAGAAAAATATGAGAGCTTAATTGGTCCAGCTGGACCGTCTTGTTTATTTACATAAAAACAATAAGCTAATCTGTGTTGAAGGTAGAATCCGTTGAAATGTCATAAACTGATGTTGCTTTATCTTTCTCAACAATGTTTTCTTAGAAATCTCTACCATATTTTTGTCAATTTACAATAATCAGAAAATTATTTCATTTATTTCTGTGAAAAGCAGTAACTGATAATATTTAATAAATATAAGTGTATCCCACATAACCTTAACATTTGACATCTGTATCGTAAGTCATTCAGATTACATTATGTCAACTAAAAGCCCATGTTTTATACTCTGATTTTAAAAAAATTTTAACTTCATATCATTTAGTAAATTATCTCAGGTTTTAAAAATAATTATTAAGCCTAGGGTGGTGTCGCATATCTGTAATGCCAGCTAATCTGGAGGCTGAGGCAGGAGAATCACTTGAGCCTAGGAGTTAGAGTCCAACCTGAGCAACATAAGGACACCCTCAAAAAAAAAAAAAAAAAAGTGGAAGGAGAGAGTAAAAAAATATTAGTTATCATTGTAAACAACTTTCTTTGACAATATCATCATAAGCAAACTGATAGGCATTTTCAATTCAGGATCCTTGTGTGTATTGAATGTGTGAGGAAAAACCCTGTCAAGCTTCCCCTCCCCCTTTCTCGTGGCTCGGTGGCTGTAGGTTACGTCCATGTGGCTCTAAGCCAAAAGAAATGCCTATGGAAAGGCTGTTCTCAACAGAGGGCTGTCTGCCTTTGTGAAAGACGAGAAGACAAAGCCTAACACAGTGCAACTTCTTTAGAACATTTTCCAGGGAACTGAACATTCTGAATGTTATACGTGGGAAAACATGCGCCGTGAGAGCCGCACAATGACGGCATTTCACTGTACTTGCCCTTGCCAGGCATTCCAGCGCGCCCTGTCTACGAGGCTAGCAAATGGGCTTGAACAGGAGATAGCACAGGCTCCGGAAAGCTCTCCTACCCCACCCGCTTTTGTGTTTACACAAAACGCTCAATTATTTCCTTCTGAAACAGAGGCCAGGTCTGTTCTCAAATACCAAGCTTTGGAAGAGGTATGATTACTTAAGCGAGTTCAGGAGGCCTAGAGAAGGGCAAAACAGTACCTTTATAGACTGCAAAACATCCCCGAAAACGTGAACAATCATCTTTGAAGGAAGGTAAGCACATCAGCCCGGGGTAAGTATCCTCATCTCTAAAGGCTGGGAGCAGGAGCTGTTTTACTCTGCCTCTTTGTGCTTTCTCTATTATATGCTATTCTGTTACATGCTAACATATCGTGGTTCACATGTTTGAAACCCCCTCTTCTTATTCATTTAGATTTATTTCAGATTATACACAATCTCAGGCCACTGAGGACCAGGTAGCAGGGCAGGCCATTCTCTTTGCCTTTCTTCAACTGTGCTATGTAGACTCCAGAGGCAGTGCTCTCCAAAGAACTGGGACTGGGCAACCTTACTGTCCACAACGGGCTTCAGCCTAGTTACTTTTCTGCAGAGCTTGTTTGGTACAGCACAGGAAATTCTACTTCTCTGGGTTTTCAGTTATCTAAGAGCATCTTGGTATTTTTCAGATTACCAAGAATCTGTGGCAATGTGACTGTGACTCAACAGATAAAGCAGCCAAGATAGACGGTGGCTGACAGGGACTCTGTTTTCTAAAGTGTGGATGATAAGCATTAGGAGATTAAAAAAAAAAAAAACTTTAATCAATCAATGGAACAAGGCAGGAATGAGAAGAATGTTTCTAATTTAAAATCTAGCATAAATTTTGCCCTTAAACTCTGAGAAAATATAAAGAATCAGAGGAAATTTTAAAAATACAAAATTAAGCAAGAAAAGTTGCTTAAATAGATAAGTATATGATTTCAGACACAAATGAGTGTCTGTATGTATGGGGTTTACCTTTTCTATTAGGATTAAGTAACTTTTTGGAGCAAATTTATTTAGAACTTGATTATTCAGTTTGTCTATAAAAATCTACTTTTTATAGCTCTTTAAAAAGCTTTAAGGCCAGGCATGGTGGCTCACACCTGTAATCCCAGAACTTTGGGAGGCCGAGGTGGGTGGATCACCTGAGGTTATGAGCTCGAGACCAGCCTGATCAACATAGAGAAACCCCGTCTGTACTAAAAATACAAAATTAGCAAGGTGTGGTGGCACGTGCCTGTAATCCAGCTACTCAGGAGGCTGAGGCAGGAGAATTGCTTGAACCTGGGAGGCAGAAGTTGTCGTGAGCTGAGATTGCGCCATTGCCCTCCAACCTGGGCAACAAGAGTGAAACTCCATCTCAAAAAAAAATAATAATAATAATAAAATAAAAGGTTTTAAAATGCGCAAGATAAATTTGGGAAAAAAAAAAAACCACTAATAATATTTTTAACTTTTCTAAATGCTAGTTTCCAGAGCGTAAGTGGTCTAACAGAACTGATCAAGTCATGGTCACTGAAGTGGAATGCTCTAAAAGGCCTCAGAGAATACAGGAATGAAAGAATGAGGCAACCAAAGGTCAAAGTCTAGATAACTTCCAATCTCTATCCACCAGCCCCACCTTATCACAACTCTATGGATAGGTCATTCTTCCAGCATGTGATGGGTTGTACAGAGTCAGTTCTGATGCTTAACAGGCTGAAGCGGCACTATAATCACACCTGTAATCGCAGCAGTTTGGGAGGCCGAGGCAGGTGGATCACTTAAGATCAGGAGTTCAAGGTCAGCCTGGCCAAAATGGTGAAAGGCCATCTCTTCTAAAAATAGAATAATTAGCTGGGTGTGGTGGTGTGCACATGTAGTCTCAGCTACTTGGGAGATTGAGGCAGGAGAATCTCTGGAACCCGGGAGGTGGAGGTTGCAGTGAGCCGAGATCATGCCACTGTACTCCAGCTTGGGTGACAGAGCAAGACTCTGTCTCAAACAAAACCAAACAAACAAAAAAATGAACACCCAAACAACAAAAACAAAACTGAAAGTTCAATATTTAACATTCTTGCTCTTAAAATACTCCCAGGTCTGATGAGGACTTCTCACTGGCTACCTGTAAGCTGTATCCCTACCTCCTGGTGTTCATGCCCTACTTTTCAGTGTGAGCTGGGTTTTGTGAACTTGTTTCTAGCAAACACGACAGGGCAGAGGTGATAGAATGTCACCTGTAAGATTAGGTTACAAAATAACTGTGGCTTCTGTCTCAGTTGCCCTCTCTCATTTTCTCCATCTGAAGGAAGCCAGCTACCCCTTCCCTGCCTTTTTTTTTTTTTTTGAGACAGGGTCTCACTCTATCATCCAGGCTGGAGTGCAGTGGTAAAATCACTCTTGTTGCAGTGCCAATTTCTTAAGTTCAAGTAATCATCCTGCCTCAGCCTCCCAAATAGCTGGGACTGCAGCCCACACACCATGACGCCTGGCTAACTTTTGTATTTTTTGTAGACAGGATTTCACCACGTTGCCCAGGCTGGTCTCAAACTTCTGAGCTCAAGTGAGCTGCCTGCCTCGGCCTTCCAAAGTGCTGGGATTACAGGCAGGAGTCACGTGCCTGGCGTCAGCTGACATGTTTTGAGCTGCGCTATGCAGAAGCACACAGTGCACTCCAATACCCCTCCAAGGAACCAAATCCTGCCAATAACCATGTGAGTGAGCCTGGAAGCAGATCCTCCCTCTTGAGCCTTCACAGTAAACCTCAGTCTCAGCTGATGGCTTGCCTGCAATCTTATGAGAGACCTTGGACTACAAGCACCCAGCTAACAAGTGCCCAGATTCCTGACCCATGAAAACTGTGAAATGATAAACAATTGTTGTTTGAAGCCACTAAATTTTAGAGTAATTTGTTATGTAGCAACACATAATGAACCCCCCCATTTTTGTTCAGTTCCAGCCTTCCATCTTCTTCAGCCTGCCTTCCCTCGGTCTTTCTCCATCATAGCTATTGCCATCCCACATTCCTTTTACTTCTTTTGTGCAAAAGTTTAAAACTATCTCCTTTAGGTGGCTCTTTTAAGCTATGCCCTAAGGGCTTCTCCTCCTTCATTTTCAACGGCCTAAAAATAATAAAGAAAGGTTTCAACCTAAGAGAAACTTTACTGCTAGCTGATATGAGAACAATTTTTTCCAACTTGTGTTAAGAAAGTGAGTAATCCAAAATACATAATGTATCTACAACTTCATCATCTCAAATATACCTTAGATTTTATATATTTTATAAAGTTGAGATTAAGCATCTTGCTTAAATAATCAACTCCTTGAATAAACTTTTTATAGTAATTAGACAAATTATTTTCAAATATTTTATATTGAATATTTTTATTTTTGGCTTACGATTTTATTCAGATTATTGCAACATGTTCTTGTGTGAGATGTGTCTACATATGAAACCCTCAACTTTCCAGCCTTCTGGCCTCAGGTATAACTTTTTTTTTTTTTTTTTTTTTGAGACAAAGTCTCGCTCTGTTGCCCAGGCTGCAGTGGTGTGATCTCCACTCACTGCACCCCAGCTCCTCAAGTGCTTCTCTTGCCTCAACTTCCCAAGTAGCTGGGATTACAGGTGCAACCATCACACCCGGCTAATTTTTGTATTTCTAGTAGAGACGGGATTTCACCATGTTGGCCAGGCTGGTCTCGAACTCCTGACCTCAGGTGATCAGTCCACCTTGGCCTCCTAAAGTGCTGGCATTACAGGCGTGAGCCACCATGCCCAGCCAGCTCAGCTATGACTTCAACACACTAAAGAAAATGCCTTGTGCCACCCTTGTCCCATTCACTACCTTGGAGAATGTTATATTGGAGGTAGCAAATAACTTAAAATTAGGCTTTTCCTCCGTTGTCCTGGGTGACTGGAGCACAGAGAAACCCTCACATCTTCCCCCTCCAGGGCAGTGTGTCCCTTCCCTGCCTGCCCCCATTCTTCCCATACTTTTCTTGTCCATCTTGCTGTTTTTTCCCCCAGTTCCAAAGCTCCCAAATTCATTCCCCACCACAATTTTATTTCTCCTTAATACAGAGACTTTTGAATTGATTTTGTTTTTACTTCTGCCATCTAGGTTGTGTGATAGCGGGGAGGGGAAGGGTCTCCGCTTCCAACACAAAGGAGATCCCAGACCCATCTGTGTTTTCTTTCTCAGATGCTGTCCTCCTCCTCCTCAGCTCAAACTTCCTTGCCACTGAAAATAACAGTCTAAAAATGTATACTAGAGTTTAAATTAAATGATTAAGTTTAAAAATCTTGATAAACAAGAGAAGTCACTTTCTCATTGAAATCTTGCTGAATTTACTAAAAAACAAACATTTTCAAAGTGGAGTATTTTCTTAATCTTGGCCCAAACGCTCATACTATAAGCCAGTTTATAATCTATTTCAAGTAAATGGTAAAAGCTCTTTTTATGTCATAATTATAAGACCCTCTTTGGGGATCAATATTCATATATTTGAATGTTCATTTTATGGCATGGCAAATATTAGGAGGTTATGTCTTCTCTTGCAACATCAAAAGAATGACACTGAAACTAATCCTGGATTGTAGCCTGCTGTAAATTATGTACCTCAGGAAGCTGGATGAAGAGGAGACACTCAACTTCAGACATTGGTTCTAAGGAGGAACTGCAGAAGGACTTTGTATTTCTAGTAGAGACAGGGTTTCGCCATGTTGGTCTTGAATTCCTGACGTCAGGTGATCTGTCCACCTTCGCTTCTCAATCCTACTGTGGGTGTGGGGGCTCACGCCTGTAATCCCATTACTTTGGGAGACCAAGGCAGGTGGGTCACTTGAGCTCAGGGGTTGGAGACCACCCTGGGCAACATGGCAAAACTGTCTTTACTAAAAATACAAAAATTAGCCGGGTATGGTGGTGCATGCCTGTAATCCCAGCTACTCAGGAGGTTGAGGCACAAGAATTGCTTGAATTCAGGAGGCGGAGGTTGCATGAGCAGAGATTGCACCACTGCACTCCAGCCTGGGCAACAGAGTGAGAGCGTCTCCAAAAAAACAAACACAAAAACCAAACCAAACAAAATTACCTAGTGAGGCCCTAGCCAGTCAGTGTGCTTGCTAAATAATTAAAAGAGTTGTCACCCAAAATTGTGTTGTTTTGTGGGAGCCCAAATAAGCCTCCTGGGGACTCTCTTAAGAAAGCATCTCATAGTGGAAGGGACTTGTTGAGCCAAGGAGTCCATGT